TGAAATAATTTATTGCTTGGAAAAATGTATGTTTATTTCTAATAGTTAAGATAATGTATTTTACATTCTTTGGTTCACGTTTTGGGAATGTGTAAAATGATTGCATTATTTTTTTGTTTTGAGGTATTTTTTGTTGAAAGTTATCGCGAGATTTGCGTATATGGAACAAAGCTATGTGGAGCAGCCTTGTGTTTACTGTAGCTGTCAACGTATTTGTAGTTATGTTTGTAATATTTTGCAATTTTATTGGTAATGGTGTTTTATTTACTTAATATATTAATTTAGAGTGGATGAGGAAGAATTAAACTGTTAAAGACCTCCGAAGTGGCAGGCGGTCACGAGGTAACTTCTGCTAAAGCATGTGTCACCTGATTGTCTGCAAATGTATCTATATGTAAATTTTTGTCTTCTATTTCTGTAGTTTTCACGGCGTTTAACAAAGAGCCCATCTAAAGGAAGCCGTGCCAGTGTTGTCACTTTCGAGTTACAATGGGTGTAAAATAGGTGTGGCTCCTGGAAAAAAATCCAAATCTAGATAAGTCATTGTTTCTTAAAATAAGTGCATTTGTTCTTGGATTGAGAAGGTAAAAAAGACTTTTTGCCAACGGAACGAGACAATTTACACTTAAATTAAGAAAACACAAGTGCATTGTCTTATTTCAAGTGCATTTTATCCAATTATCTTATTTTAAGAGTAAAAATACTAATTCCATTGGCAAACTATCTCATTGATCTACTCAAATTTAGGATATATACACTTAATTTAAGACATTTTTACTTATTTCTAGATCCTTTTTCCAGTGCAGGCTGCAGTCAGCTTATTAAAGGTCAATGATAATCCTCACATCTATAGAAAAATTTGTAAACATCTAAAAATAGTAAGCTTATGTAGCCTAAACATGAAAAGTGATAACTCAAACTAAATTTTAGAAACTATGGAGCGCTGCACATCCAGACTTTCAGCTAATTTTTCTTTTTTTTTTTTTTATTATTTAGTTGTGACACAACTCTGAGGTTTCTGGTAACCAGCTCTTGTCAGTGTAAAAAAAAATAAATAAAAATAAATAAACATGACAAACTGTTAATTTACTCTCTGCAACATTTA